GTCTTCTGCCAAAATAGACTTTTCGCACAGCTTTCATTGTAAATTTAATTGAAGTGAATGTTAGGTCGTTAGGGCGTAACCTGCATTGGGGTTGAGCTTCTGGTGGACAGGTACTGAGAGATTCTGCCTATGGTAGGGACTGAGAGTTGTTTTTATTTCAGAAACAGTGCCCTGGAATCTGGTTTGTGTATCGAGTAAATACTGATACAAATTCTTCAGACATGTTTTTTACATTTCTTCATAATGTTGAACATACCAGTCGTTGCAAAGTTAATCTAATCTGAGGGAGGGACTTGGCTTAGTTCTAAAAGCCCTGCCTGCTGCGAGACGAGGTGTTTTATGGGACTCATGGGGTGGGGGGGGCGGGCGTGTAATAAAGCCTTCCCTAGGCTTGCTGAGGTACCTGAAGTTGCATATTTGATTCTTGGTCTTCATTCCTCATGTAGAAATCCATCCCATAAACCCATTAAGTGAACAACTCATCGCTGCTGTTGGAAGTCAGATGATGTTTCAAAAGGCTTAGAGGCCTTCCTTTCTCTCTTTTTTTTCAGATGGTTTGGGTTTTTGCTGCATGGGAGCTACAGTACTCACGTAATAGTTATGGCTTAGTTCTGCATGTTGGGCTTAGCAGATACAGTTAATTTCCGCTTGTTGAGAAAATACCTGTTACCTTTGTTCCAGTTTAGAAACAAACACAAGCACTGACTGCGTGGAGTCGGATTATTTCAATTGAAACTAGTAATGAATGCGCATGTGTGCGGTACTAACATGCGAGGAGGCATCTGCTGCTTCAGCGTGACAAACCGTTGCCCTTTCGCTTGGGAGGCTGCTGCTTCTGGCTGGTTTGTTGGGGAGTATCACTCATGGAAGGTAACAGAGCATTGCTGTTTTGTCTCAATCCATTAAGGTCATGCCCGGAGTGCCGTGTGATATCCGAGTTTGTCATTCCCAGCGCATATTGGGTAGAAGACCAGGAGAAAAAAAATGAGCTGATTGAAGCATTTAAGCAGGGAGTGGGGTAAGTTCAGTAACCACCAACACTGTTTACCTTGTCCTTAAGATAGATACACTAAGTCTTAGTCAGTCAAAGTGCCTGTGTTTTTAAACTTTATGTAATTGCAAACCATTCTACAGAGAGCTCTTATGTACCGTTAACGCTTCTATTTATTTAACTTTGTGACTGCTACAAAAGGGTCTGTTGCTTAATTATAGATCAGAAATTATTCGAACTCGACATGCTCTGAAATGTTGAGGCTATTTCAGTTTACTTGCCAAAACTGGCTTTGTGTTTTCTGTTTACCCCTTGGATGTAATTGCCTGGAAGGTGGGCAGTTACCGAGGAAAACAAATAGGGAAGGAAAATGTAATAGTCTCTGGAGGCGTGGGATAAAAATTCATGGGGCTTTTGTAATGTCTACTGGAAATGGAAAATACTGTGTGGCTGCATTCCTTTTATTGTCTACTAACCATTTGTCCGCTGCTTGGAGCACTGGGAGGGGGCTGCCGACAAGTGTTCTTACAGCAGTTTTGCAAAGCTGTGCTTGCCTGGAAGGTCTCGGGGTTGTGCAGTTCGCGGGGCAGTAAGGTACCATTGCTTATCTCCTTGCTCGCACTTTTAAAGGCTGAACAAGCAGATCCTTGCTTGACCCGAGCGAGCGATGACTGCGTCGCTGAAGGTTGTCCCGTTTCATTCAGTGATGTGCACCAATCTTTAAATGCGCCCTGTGAGGGTACTGAAAAAAAAAAATAGGCATAACTTAAATCTGTGTGTAGCTGTTGCCACCAGCTTTTCAGCTGCTTGGGAAGTCTCTGAAGCCCTGTTATAACATGGCAGCAGAACTGCTGAAAGCTGTACTGCTCTGTTAAACGAATCCAGCATCTTGTCTTGTTTATTCTTATAGTCAGGCAAAATATTTGAATAGCATTAATCGCTTTAAACTGAGGTTCTTCAGATAGGGGTTGTTTTCAACTGCCCTACTGCTGTCATGGTTTTTCATTTTAATTCAAGGGCTTTGAATTGAGGGTAGGGAGTCGTGCTCACAAGCCTCAGGGTAGTGCAGTTTTTGAATGGCCGTGTTCTCAGCACAGTGGGACAGAGGTGTTGGGTAGCATTGGAAGTTGGGGGTTGGCTCTTGTCAACCTGTTGTGTAGAAGAGAGCACAAAAAGGAGCTTTGCTTAAGTGCTCAGTTAAGACTACCACACTGGGTTGTAGGTAGAATTTCTGTACCAAAGAGGTTTGTGTGTAAATTTGCAGATGACACCAAACTGGGTGGGAGTGTCAATCTTCTTGAGGGGAGGAGAGCTCTGCAGAGGGACCTGAACAGCCTGGATCGATGGGCCAAGGCCAACAACGAGGCCAAGTGCTGGGTCCTGCACTTTGGTCACAACAACCCCATGCAACGCTACAGGCTTGGGGAAGAGTGGCTGGAAAGCTGCCTGGAGGAAAAAGACCTGGGGGTACTGGCTGACAGCCGGCTGAATATGAGCCAGTAGTGTGCCCAGGTGGCCAAGAAGGCCAATGGCATCCTGGCCTGTATCAGGAACCTTGTTGCCAG